CACCGTAGTCAACCACTCACCCCCCCCCCCACCCTGGAGCAGTCATTGTTGCACTGCATTGGGTTGCTTGGCCACAGCCCGCGGCCGGCACCCTTTGCGCTCCGGCGCCCGTTGCGCATGGCAGCCCCATCTGCAAGCGCGCGCGCCGCCAAAGCCCGCCCGCCCGCTCGGCCGGCCCCTCACGCACCTCTGCGGGCGCCACCCCGACCGCCGCGCGCCGGCACGCACGCCGCCCTCGTCCGGCGGGCCGCCGCTGCTTGATCAAACGCTCGCCTGTCGCTGCGTGTGCGTATGCAGATGAGGGAAGAGTGTCCCTGCGTGGGGCGACACAGGGTGGGGTGTCACCCTGTTGACAGCGGTCGGAAGCGACGCGCCCACCCATGGCTTTGTTGTCCCGTCCATTGCGCGCGCGGCCTGGCGCATCGCATGAGCTGTGATCCCCCATGATCCGATGCCCGAGCACGCCGCTGCAGGTACGTAAGCGTGTCGTGGGACCGAGGCCCGACGCAGCCCCCCACATTGCTGTGCACCAGCGCAGCCCACCTCCCTAACTGACCGGTTCTCGGCGGGTGTGCCGCGCAGCTCAGCAGGCGGCGGCCGGCCCTCACCCCTTTGGGTGTCTCGTGCGTGTACCACCCTCCACCGGAAGGGGCGTGGGCGGGCCACACAAATAGCCGGCAGCGCGGCCGCTGCGGCGCGCCCGGCGGCTCTGCCTGCGATCTTGATGGCTCGTGCGGCGCGGCCGGGGCCGCTTGCCTTGGCTCTCTGCCCCTCTCCGCCCGTTTGCTCCCGGGTTTTTTTGGGGGGAGGGGGGGTGCGAGGTCAGGGGCACAGCGCGGTTCGCCACGCCGCCTGACACTACTCCTGTTGCGGAGCTGAGGGTGTGGCTGAGGTGCCGATGGAGGGCCGTGCGCGCCGTGCCTCCCTGCCTGGGAAATGGTTGGCAACAGCTGGGGGCGGGGGCGCTGCCACGCATAAGCGTGAGCGTGAGCACGCGCACGGTCCGCGCGCACGGGCGCGCTGCCGCGGGCACCGCCTGCGTGAGGGGCGCCGCCCCCCGCGCGCCGCAAAGCGGAGCAGAGCGCTCCGTGCGTCGCCGCCCCGTTCTCTTGCGGCCGTGCCGGGGGTTGTTCCAGCATGCGACGGCCCCCTGCTGGGGGGATAAGAGGTGTCCTGGGACTTCTGATTCGCCAGCACGGGCAGCCGGCCCACCCTTTGAGCCCCGCCCCCCACCCTGGAGGTCGCGTGGCGATGTTTCCACAGACGGCGACCCCCCGGGGTGGGCAGCGGCGCGTGCGCCGAGCAGCCTGCAAGCGCAACGGGCATGCGGGCGCTGCCGCACCCGTCAGTGCCTCGCGCTCCGCACGCAGTGGGGCCATGCGAGGATGCAGCACAGGATAGAAACACAGGATAGGATATACGGTCGCGGCGTCCCGCGGCCGCCCACTTTTGGGACCATCCACGCTGATGGGAATGGGCTTGATAGCACGCACGCAAGCTATCCCCGCCGCCGTCGGCGCGCCGGCGTGGGGCGCCGCGCGCCGGGGCCTGGCCGGCTGACCGGCGGCGTTCAAGACATTTCAGGGGAGGGACAGGGATGGGCCGCGCCTTCGTCATCTGGTCGCGCTGTCTAGCTCCAGAGGGCGGCAACCCGACCCCCCCCCCCACCCGGCCACCCTTGCCCCGCCCTCCTTGTTCTCTGCAGCAGCGGCCTTTTTGAAGCTCTGGGCATGACTATGCCCTGCTGCCGCTTACCGACACTGCTTTGGCATTTTCAGGCGCGCACACACACACACGCACACGCGCGCGCGCGCTTTCATGTTACCACACCCGTCGATGCCCTTACTACCCCGTCCACCGAACCTCCCTCACCCCACCCCCCCCCCAGGGTGCTGACGTCATCCGTGACGTCGAGTTTGTCGTGTTTGACGAGGTCCACTACGTGAACGACGCGGAGCGCGGAGTGGTGAGACGCCGCGACGCGATGACGGGGGGTGACATCACCGCGCCGGCCCCTCTGGGGCGGCCACCAACGCCTTGTGCGGGTCGGTTGGGTGTTGTTAGCCCAGCTTTGCGTCCGTGATGGCGCATCACAATGCAGATTATGTTGAGGGTTTAGGGAGGGTGTTTTGCGGAGGGTTGTCGTCCCGGGCACGTGGGGGAGCGTTCGGCATTGCGCCGCTGCTGCGCTTGTTGATGGAAGAGTTAGGGTGCTGAAATTATGGAGGGGCGGAGGGGCCGTACAACGGACGTAAGGGGGGGGGGGGCGTTCTGATCGGGGGGTTGCTTGTGCATGCGAGCCTGCCCGGAGGGCCCGCAGTGTGGGGACGTGTGGGGGAGGTTGGTGGCGGGTAGCCCAAGGTGAGGGGTGAATCTCAAGGGAGCAAGCTCACGGGCACCGCTGCAGCGCCACCTGTGGCGTAGCCGCTGCGGCGCTGACGGGCAGTCTTGCGGTGCGGCGCGCGGCGGCGCTTCAAAATGATGCTCTGGTCAACGAAAGCGCCGGCTGCGCCGCGCCGCAGCGCACCGCACACCTCAACTCCCCTTCCCTCCCCTCCGTGCCGTCCCTCCCTCACTCCCCCACCTCCGTTACTCCCCTCCTCCATCCACCTATCCACCCTCCCCACTCCGCTCATTCTGCACCCCTCCCTCCCTCTATTTCCCTTCCTCCCCGTCCGCTGACCTTCGCACTTCCCCCCCTCAACCATCTCTTCCCCTCTCCTTCCCTCCCTCTCCCCTTGCCCCTCCCCCCCTTCAGCCTCATCGCACACCACCACTCACCTCCCATGTCCTCAACGTTGCGCCCTTTTGACTGCAACAATATCTCATCGTTCGGCCGTGTAGCCTCGCCTCCTCCTTGTCACCACCCGATCGCTGCCGTCCCCCACTTTTTCTCCCTCCAACAACTGCCCGACCCACCCCATCTCTGACACCACGTGACATTACCCCTCCTCCACCCCCCCCCCCCAAGGTCTGGGAGGAGGTGATCATCATGCTGCCCCCCCACGTGACCATTGTCATGCTGTCGGCCACGGTGCCCAACGTTATGGACTTTGCGGACTGGGTGGGGCGCACCAAGAACAGGGTGGTCTACGTCAGCGGTGAGAGGTCCCGGACTGTGCGGCCGCGCGGTGGTTGCCCGTCTGCACTCCCACGCAGACTCTCCGGGGTAAAGGCTGGGCAGCGGCGCGCCAACCAAGGACCAGGGCCTGGCAACCCATGGCTTGGCGCAGGATGGCGATTGGGGTTCAAAACATGTTTTGGTAGGGTTGTTCAGTGGCAAAGGTTGCAAACAGGGTGGCTTATGCGAGGCAGGAGCACTGCAGCATTCCCGTGTGGGGTTCATGGGCGGGGGTCTGTTCCTTCGGTGTGTGTTTTGAGGGGGGAGCGCGGGGGAAGCGCGTTTCTGCCGCCGCCCAGGACTGCTGTTACGGGGCTGGGCGTGTTGCTAGGGGCCGGCGCGGGGCCGTCAGCGCGGCGTGACGGGCGCACGCCTCCCTCCCTAGCAAATGCCATCGCCTCGCGGAATGCGGGTCCATTTGCTTGGGGCGGGGACGCGCCAGCCGGCCGCACCTTCTTGATGGGTGCCACCGCAGCCTCCTGGTAGCACCGGCCTCGCACACTTGCTGCAACAGCCATCATCGTTCATGCCACCCGTCCGCTTCACCGCTTCTTCTTCAACAGCTGCTTTCTAACCTGTGATCAAACCCGCCCACCGCAGTTCCCCGCGCGGCCCCACTGCACGCCCACCAACACACATCAAACCCAGCCGTTGTATCCCAAAAGAGTGTCCCTGCAACCCGCTGTGCTTCATCACCACAAGCACACCACTGAAAACCCTTGTGTTGACCGACCCATCCC